TTTAAAGCTGAATACGCTAACACACGGACATACACAGACACAGATACACATACAAATACATAGACACATAAACACAGACACAGATGCACACATATATAGGTAAAGGTATACGCAGACACATTTACACAGACACAGATGCACACATACATAGGTAAAGGCATACGCAGACACATATACACAGACACACACACATGTAAACAAATGTACACGCGCGCGCACGCACACACGTACAAACAGACACACACACACACACACACACACACACACACACACACACACACACACACACACACACACACACACACACACACACACACACACACACACACACACACACAAACGAACAAACGCATACGCATATAAATAAGCATACTGCAAACACACATACACAATGAACTGCAAATCACTGCAGTGTTCATTTTTCATCAGAACTTTAACCAGATGTGTAAATATTATTCTAATATTATTTTTACACCTGGAGAAACGTGTGGGGCGAGTAAGTGTAAATGTTCTTTTTTGGTCAGCTTCGTCTAGTGTGGTTATACTAATCTTTATCATTATTTTTTATCATCCTTATCATTGTCATTATTATCAATATCGTTATCTCATTCTCATAATTAAAGCTCAATTGTTATTACAACGTTTTGCTTTTTATTATCATTGTTATTATTATCATTATCGTTATCTCATTCTCATAATTAAACCTTAATCTTTATTACATTTTTTTTTTTTATCATTCACTTAATTTATAAAAGTATAAGCACAGTTTATACATGTACAAAGTGTTGAAATTCCCAGTCAGAATATTTACCTTCCGCCGCCATAAAGCTCACGATCCCGACTCGGCGCGCAGACAAAACACGAAGGCCGAGATGCGTCGGGCGTCTGTTTTACCAAAATGATTAATTCGTTCCGTCATTCATCTTACCTTCTTGTTTCGGAACATGTTGGTTGTGTGTGTTTTTTTTCTTCTTTTTTTTCTCGCTCTCTTTTTTTCCTTTTTCTTTTTTTTTTTTCTTTTTTTTTAAGCGGCAGAGATTTGAATTACGCCCGTTTGTCGTCGCTTCGTTCAAGATGGCTGTCAACTTGGCTCACTAACGAGGTGGTTGAGGATCTTTCTTTGACCGCTGACGCAACCTGCTGCACAACTAGCTCCTCCACCTTAGTCTCGTCTCCACTGTCTCACGTCCATTCGTCCTCCACTATTCTCCATCTTCTTCCACTTTCCTCCTTCATTCTCCACCTTCCTTTCACTCTCTTTCATCTTCATTCCCTTTTATCCTCTCTCTCCTCCAACATTCTCCTTTTTCCTCCACTCTTCTTTAAAGTCCTCTTCCTCCTAACCCTTTTCCACTCTCCCATCCACCCGTTCTCCCTCCACCCGTCTTCCACACTCCTCCACATAACTCCTCCACATAACATCTCCACCCTCTGTCCCTCCCCTTTCCCTCAAGCCATCCACTACCCTCCATTCGCCCCCCCCCCCCCCCCACAACTCCCTTGTTCGTTCCTCTCTCCGTCCTCTCGTTCTCTCGTTCTCTCTCCCTCCCTCTTCTCCAACACTCTTCCTTCCACTCTTGTCTTATCTGAAGCTTCCTCCAACACTCACTCTCGTCCTCCACCTTTCCTCCTTCTCCACCTTTCCTCCTTCCTCCATCTCCTCTCTCCCCTTCCACCTTCTCCCTCCACCCCCCTCCCCCCACCGCCCCCCCGAGTGGTGTGTATCGCTTTACACCAGGTGGCCTCCTCCCTCCCACTCCCCCTCCCCCTCCCCCCGGGCGTGTTGTTTAAGAAGCTGCAAAGACCCGAGTCGGACTGAAGGCCCCTCCTCTCCCGCCCCCTCTCCTACCCCTCCCCCTCTCTCTCATCACTTTTCCTTCTCCTCCCTCTCCCCATCCTCCTCTCCCTCTCCCCGCCCTGCTTCCTCTCTCCCCATTCTGTTCCGTCTCCCTTTCTCCTTCCTTTATCTCCCTTTCTTATTCCCTGCCTCACTTTTCTCTTTCCCGTCCTTCCCCTCCTCTTCCTTCCCTTTTTCTTTCTTTTCCCCATCACCCCCTTCCCCTTCCTCTCCTTCTTCCTCTCTCCCATCTCCCTCTTCCCCTTCTTCTCCCCTTCCCTTTCCTCTATCCTTCTCCCTCTCCCCATCTTTTCTTTTCCTCATCTTCTCCCCTTCTCCCCTCCTCCCTATCTCCCCCTCCTCCTTCCTCCCCACCTCCCCACCTCCTTTCCCATCTCCCCATTTCCCCCTCTTCATCTTTTCCCTCTCCCCATCTCCCCTTTTCCTCATCTTCTCCCCTTCTCCCCTCCTCCCCATCTCTCCCTCCTACTTTCCCATCTCCCTACCTCCTCCCCACCCCCGTTCTGTTCCCCGAAGCGTCGAATTGTTCAGTGGCATTCGATACCCTTGATTTAGGAGCGGGACCAAAACATAAACAGATGAGTGCGAATAAGGTCTTTTCTGTTACTGCCACCGGATCGGATTCCCTTTGTTCCTTCGCCGAATAGATTCAGTGGGAAGTGAAGAGTGAAGGATACAAGGCGGATACGAAAAAAAAAGGAAATTCTATTGTGAGACTTTTTTCTGAGGGAGAGAGAGAGAGAGAGAGAGGGAGAGGGAGAGGGAGAGAGAGAGAGAGAGAGAGAGAGAGAGAGAGAGAGAGAGAGAGAGAGAGAGAGAGAGAGAGAGAGAGAGAGAGAGAGAGAGAGAGAGAGAGAGAGAGAGAGAGAGAGAGAGAGAGAGAGAGAGAGAGAGAGAGAGAGAGAGAGAGAGAGAGAGAGAGAGAGAGAGAGAGAGAGAGAGAGAGAGAGGAGAGAGAGAGAGAGAGAGAGAGAGAGAGAGAGAGAGAGAGAGAGAGAGAGAGGATGAGAATGAGATGAGAATGAGAATGAGAATGAGAGAGAGAGAGAGAGAGAGAGAGGATGAGAATGAGAATGAGAATGAGAGAGAGAGAGAGAGAGAGAGAGAGAGAGAGAGAGAGAGAGAGAGAGAGAGAGAGAGAGAGAGAGAGAGAGAGAGAGAGAGAGATGAGAATGAGAATGAGAATGAGAGAGAGAGAGAGAGAGAGAGAGAGAGAGAGAGAGAGAGAGAGAGAGAGAGAGAGAGGATGAGAATGAGAATGAGAATGAGAATGAGAATGAGAATGAGAATGAGAAGAGAGAGAGAGAGAGAGAGAGAGAGAGAGAGAGAGAGAGAGAGAGAGAGAGAGAGAGAGAGAGAGAGAGAGAGAGAGAGAGAGGATGAGAATGAGAATGAGAATGAGAGAGAGAGAGAGAGAGAGAGAGAGAGAGAGAGAGAGAGGAGAGAGAGAGAGAGAGAGAGAGAGAGAGAGAGAGAGAGAGAGAGAGAGGATGAGAATGAGAATGAGAATGAGAATGAGAATGAGAATGAGAATGAGAAAGAGAGAGAGAGAGAGAGAGAGAGAGAGAGAGAGAGAGAGAGAGAGAGAGAGAGAGAGAGAGAGAGAGAGAGTGAGAGAGAGAGAGAAAGAGAGACAGAGAGAAAGAGAGACAGAGAGAAAGAGAGACAGAGACAGAGAAAGCTGGGCGAGAGAGTGAAGGGAATCGAAGACACACACACACACGCACACTCTCACTTACTCATTCACTTACACGCACACTCAAACACACAAGCAGGCACTCACACGTAGGTACATAAACGGACGTACTGTACATGACATCAGCACAAGTGACATCATCGAAGCTGACGTCAGCAGAGGGCAACTTCCTGGTTATGGGTCAGCTCGCAGATTCGCAAATGTACAAACGCGCCATGTACACAATTTTGCAAATGCTCTCATATGCAACGTGTCCTAGATCTCCACATCGTTGCAACAGATCAGACGATAAGGTCAACACAGGTCACGGAATCATGTGAATGCAATCGTAGGAGGTCACCTTCGCGCGCAATATTTCGATACTTTTCACATTGTTTACAAGAATCTTTTGTTTTTACAAGAATCAGATGTTTTCGGTTGGATCGATTTTTGGGATAGGATGGTTTTCTTTCGACATTCGGATTTATAATTTTTAATTATCATTTTCTCGTGACAGGTGGAATAGAGTAAAAGAAAATTGTAGGCAATGTTCTGTTTGATTATATATATATGATTTTTAAATGTTGTGCATTATATTTGTACTAACTCTACGGCCTCGACACGTCGTGTTTCAAGATTGTACCTAAAGGACTGTGCAACTGTTTCCCTTCCTTGAATTGACAAAGTACTTATTATCATAACAATGTTATAGGATAATATCCAAATGTAATACCATTATGTAATGTTATGACCATGCATTAAATGTACTACAGCTTGCCCACGCCTGTGCAGTTAGCCAGGGTGGTAAATAAAGGACTAAACTAAACTAAAACCCGTCATTTTTTGCGGGTCAGTGTTCCGTTGTCTCGTAAAACTGCTGGAAATACTGGAAATGATCTCAAAATAAACGCAAAAGGAAAGAATGTTATATATATGTATATACTACAAACATATACATACAGACACACACATACATACAGACACACACATATATACAGACACACACACACACACACACACACACACACACACACACACACACACACACACACACACACACACACACACACACACACACACACACACACACACACTCACACACTCACTCACACACTCACACTCACACACACACACACACACTCACACACACACACACACACACACACATGTTCACGTGTGTGTGCGTGTGCGTGTGTGTGTGTGTATGAACCTCGTACTTTTGGATAGCATTAGAGAGTTCT